ATATAAACATAATATTACTACATGATATCTAACTAGTCTTGTTTATTTGAGTAGGTCTTATAATGATGAAATATGTTGAGAATTTTTGATACAATTAATATATGATTTCCTAATTCGGGCCTCATGAGGCATGACATATAAAAATTATGGTTACATATAAATATATATGAAACAGATTAGTACAATTCACATGTACTATGAATCTTATTTTCTTACACAGTTTCACTGTATATCTAATGTTTACAAATCACAATGTCAACAATGTAATAATGACTACTTTGTTGCAACAATATTCCTGCTACGGTAAACCAGGACTCGGCCAAAAGACTAAATGAGGTTGGGAAAAAGTAGATATTCTTTTTCAAAATTCAAGTAAACGCAAAAAGAAGCATCACGATCAATTGCAAAATAGTTGCCATTTGCCTTTATATTAATGAAGCAGGAGATGTAGAAAACGCCGTATTAATAGAGCCACAATAGACAAAACGGGAATACTATACAGAAAAATGAGAAGGCTAGGTTTAGCTAGAATTGTATTTTCATTTGCATTTTTTTGCATTTGCATTTTTTGAACCAAGCAAGTGTGGAAGTCAGCATTGTACAGAACAGGAATCAAACTGAGAATCTTCAATTCTAACTTCATATCCGTATTGCTGTACTGTTTCGAGCTCTGGAGAACCACCAGAAAAGAAAACAAAAAGACTGATACATTCCATTGTAAATTTTGTTGGGAATCCTGAAGCTACAAATTCAGAAAAGATCTCAAATACGTACATGTATGAAAATTCATGTACATTATCACCCATCTATCGAAAACAATGAATTCAAAGTAATAGAAATGTATTAGCCATATTTCAAGAGGCTAAAATTCTAACATGAGAACCTATATAAAATGGGCTCCTAATCATTAAGGAAAAATAAGATAATAAAATAAGGTCGAAGGATTAAATATAGACCTGTAAGCGCACAGGAGAGAGAGAGAGAGAGAGAGAGAGAGAGAGAGAGAGGGAGGGAGATTTTCATGTCATAAAATCAATTATTAAACAAATCAAGCTGTAATTATATTTTCTGAAGTATTTTATTTTTAAGAGTTTTGCGAATTTTATTTCATTAGATTGTTAAAAGAAATAGACAGTAATTGAGATTTAAATCTATAGATAAGGCAGTTGTAAAGTTAGCTTTTCAGTATGTAAAGGGATGCCCTCACAAAGTACATCTGAGTAGTAAAGAACGATGAAGATCGAATACGACGTTAAGTTAATAGACAATATAATGCTTGTTAAAAACTAAATCTTTTTCGTCTTGCAACAAGAGAATCACGACATCCTCCTCGTCTGACAATATCAGATAGTTTTCCAAGGTTAAAATGTGTTGATGGATAATATTAAAGCGCTCATTGCATTTTATTAGTCGAAACTGTACATGTTACAGATGATATCATTTGATTCGGAATTAATTTATTACCGTTAAGGAGGGATTCTTGTCTGGTTTCTGACTAGATGAAATATTCAAAGTATATTTGCTTATATGTTTTATAAATTTAGATGTAAGAGATTTAAAAGATCATATTTTTCTTTCTTCATCACAATTGTGCAGCTTTAAATAGAAATGGTAAACTGAGTTTGAAATCTAGCAGGGACTATATTTTTGGCGGAATGGCGGCATTTGAAAATATCTTATTTTCTGCCTCTCAAAATTATTATACAACAATGAATTTAGTTATAATTTTTACACAATCAAAGACTTGAAGAATTTTTTTGTAATTGTATAAGTTAAATTAATAATAATGGACTTAAGTTTTAAAATATATCAAATAAATATGATTTTTCAAACAAACTACAATTATGTTAGCTTTTAAAAGCTTCCAATCTAAGTACAGATTTGAGCCAAAAATCCGTAAAAAGTGTTTTTTCTCTCTTAATAAGAGATCAAAACTTTTTGTTTGAAAATAAAATTAAATTAAGGAAGCATATAAAAATAACTAAAATATCCTAAAAATTTAAGAAAAATAGAGAAAATTCGGATAATTCAATATATCCATTTTAGTTCAATTATTTATGTCAATTTGGTAATATCATCTTATACACTCTATATGGTAATATCTCTTTATGCAAAAAGAAAAAAAAAATTAATTTTTTTGAAATAGAATAAGGCATCGCATGATTGGCAACAGTAATTTTTTTATTCTTAATGTCCAGGGAAAAGATTGTGACCTTGACCTGACCTTGCCTATAATATAAAACGGTCAAATTTAATTTAACTGATACCATCACTTAGTGATATTGTCTTCTTGATTCTATGAAAATTTCATTTGTTTTTAAATACTAAAATTATGAGAAGAATCCCTCCTTAAACTATCAACTGTATAAAAAAAAACTTAAAATGATTTAAAGTTTACCTGCAACTTTGTTAAAATAATTAACCTTAGTTTAGTACATAATTATATTTTGGTTACATAATGGAAAATGTGTTGAAACAAGGCGTATTTAGAAATTTCATAATTTTAGAGTTATTCTAAAATTGATCTTCAATGCAGGGCCTGTTTATCTAATAAAGAATTTGCATTTTAAAAAGTAAAAAAAAAAAAAAAAAAAAAAAAAAAACCAAAAAAAAAAAAAAAAAAAAAAGCTTGTTATTCTTGGAAAAGATATGACCAACACACTCCTTCTTAATTCATTTGTTCTTTTTCCATTTCAGTTTTTGATTCAAGAAACATGCACATTTGTAACTTATGGTTATAACCTCGTTTTGCTGCTAACAAATATTATATAGTTCTGTCTTTTTTTCTTTTAATGTAAATCTGAGTGTGCAAAAGATTTGTTATTAAGATATCATACACAATGTAGAGTGTATGCAATTTGACTTCACTCCCAATAGATGGCTAAAAGGGAACAAGTTCTCAATATTTTTTTCCATGCATGGTGTCATTGTTGGGTATAAAACCCCTGTAGTAAGCGTAAGGGGATGCCAGTTGTTTCTTTTTCGTTAAGTTAGAAAAAGTTGAAAAATCACTTACAACCGTCATTCATTACTGACCCCTTTACGTACAGATTAAGCCTATGACACAACCTGATTAAGAGTATTGTTACATTTTAATGGTGTGTCTGTTAAGATTAATCAAAGAATCTTATACGTTTCTATGCCCCCGTAATCGAAGATTCGGGGATATATAGATTTTGCCCTGTCCGTCCTTCCGTCTGTCTAGCTGTCTTTCTGTTTGTCTGGAAAATTTAACATTGCCCAAAACTTTTGATTGGTTGGAGCTATGGCTTTTATATTTCAATTGTGTATTCCTTGTGACAAGACCGTCCATCAGATACTCGCATATTTGACCTTGACCTTTGAGTTCAACACACTTTTGCAAAAATTTACCCAACTGTTCAAAAGTTATAAACAAGGTTAAAGTTTTCCAAAAGTAGGTCAAATTCCAAGGTCAAGGTCAATAAGCTATAATTGTTGGTATCCTAACGCAGTACAGTTAAGGTGCGCAATGGAAATATCGGCAATTTTTGTGATTTAAAAATATATTCTTAATCAGGATAGCGATTCTTTTTAGTACTTTATTTATACCGGACATATCTATTTGTCGTTATTAACTACATATTGAGGACGATTAGATTTTATATTTAGACTTGTCACGTGATGTGGCAGTCAAGTGATTTTAGAACATACACTTGCAATATTGAGGTCACCTTTAAATCTCACTAGTGCAAGGGCATAACCAAGTTAAAATTCTAAGTTAAGTTTATAAATATTTTCAACACGCATTGTAGTTTTTGAAAAGTGCTGCGATCCTATATAGATTCTGTTATTTCATTATTAAAATCCTGTTTGTACATGTATGACTGCATGCTCAAGTTTTTGCTGGTCAATGGCATTAAATATAGATATAATTAATTCATTTTCAAGATCTCACCAGGATCGCAGCACTTTTCAAATACCTTAATACTTCTAGAGTTTATTTGTAAAAGCTTACTATGATCCATTGAGTGTATGCCCTTGCACTAGATCGATTTATTGAGATCCTTACATTACCCTCCGATGTACTTGCATACAAATACACAGCGGTATCAATTAAATAGGAAATGTACGGAAAATATATGAATAAAATCATAAAGAAGACATTGAATCCAAGTTAATGGCCTCTTAAATATCTGCAAATAATATTTTATTTAATTATAAAATATATTTTTCGTTGCGAAAATATTACTTGATCCGCCTCTCACTGCATACACACTGCGTCAAGTTTTACGAAATGACCTCATATCGACAAGTGCATTGCGATCAGTGACTTGTTTATACCTTGCTATATAGGATTTAACTAAGGACAAAACAGCGTGTTATAGTAGGTTTTGATGTAGTTTGATGGTTTCCTACAGTTTAAAATAGCAAATAATTTCATTTTCCGGTATTTTTAAGACTTGTTGTGTGATGTCGCAGTTAGCATTTCCCGTACAAATTAGGCCCCGCCTCCTTTTTGTAGCCGTAACTGTGCTGCGAAGGAACGTCTTGTCACAATGATTACATATCTGAAGCATGAAAGCCCTAGCACCAACCATTCAAAAGAAATGGCCAAGTTGGGTAAAATTTTGCAAAACTGGGTCAAACACCAAGAACAAGATTAAGGGGTCAAACATGATGATACCTACAGAAATGGCTTGTCAAAATAAATATACATGTGAAATATCAAAGCAATTCCTCCAATCAATCAAAAGTTATGGGTTTTTGAGGACAAACAGACAGGCAGACAGCTAGACAGACGGACGAGCAGGGCAAAAACTATATGCCCCTGAATCTTCCATTGAAAGGACATAAAAATGATTACGAAACAAAAACTATTTCCTATTGCTATTAATGTTCAGTTTTGTGATATATTACTTCATAGTCTTATTATGAAAACATGCTGACAAATTGATAAATAATGCTATAAAGTTCATTACGTGGCAGCTGTTAGTTATCCTGTTAGTAGCAACTGGAAGCAAAATTTCCACATCAATGTTGCAAAATAGTTCTAAATGTATAAATAGAAAAATATGATAAACCAATGGGGTTAATTCAACGTATTCTTTCAGATATGACATTCAAGACCGAGTCTGTTCTAATGTTCTTTTTGGTTATTCTTCTGGTCAACAACCCTGATCGTCTTACAGTAGAAGGTAAGGATACCCTTCTTCCGTTTGCGAAAAGGGTTTTTTTTTTATAACGTATATATGTATCATGAAAAATATAAATTTCTTATACACAATATTATTCAATATTATTATATAATTCGAAATGTTTTCAGGAAATGGTCTTAAGCACCTTAAAAAAAAATGTTTTTTCGAGATCAAAATACGGTTAAATGATAAAGTAAAGTAACGCGTTTCCTAAGTTAATGGCATTTCCCCGCTTTGGTAGAATACAAACATTTTTTCGCAGTTTAATTCTTCATACTGGTTATCTCAAAGATAAGAATCAACATTTGTAAAATGACTTCTTCCTTTCTTTCACTTAACTGCATTGTTGTCATGCCGACGATCTGATTTGTTTAGCAAAGGGAGAAATTTCTAAAAGAAAAGAAAGTAGAAAATAAGTCAGGAACGTATCGGTCAAGTTTTGAAATTCAGGAAAATAACATCATTTTTTTTTTCATTTGTTCTGTAAGAAAGTACTCTGGAAGAGGAAATATGTAAAGTCAACCATTATGCATAATAAATATTCCCGGCTAATTTTTGAACATGTTATTGATGCAGGTTATCAAAGATATTTTTCATCCAATCAGAGACGCCGATTTCTCATCAATCTTATAAATATCAAATGATTAAAGTTAGAAGCAAACAGACCACATCCCAAACATTACTTCATTGTGGGTTTGGATGAAAATAGATTATGGGGGAATATATCGGTATTCAATGATTCTTAAAGGGACACATGTCTATTTAAAAATACAATAATCTTTAAAATCTATCTGGCTTATTTACTTAGTTAATGAAGAAAAAGAAACACTGAGAAATATACTCAGTATTGTTGATCATCTAAATTGGCAATTACTTTAGAAAGAATATACTTGAAAATAGTTGTCAAGTGAACATGGTTTTGAATTTTCATGTTGAAATTTGCAGTATTTCTAATTTTACTTTTACTTTATTGTTTGAAATTATCGTTGCAAGCAAACAATCGATGAAATACTTTTTTCACTTAAGGGGGCGATTCTCGATGCTGGTCCATGAATGGTAGATGCCAATATACATCGGAGCCTTGTATCGAATTTAAACCGGGATACTGTGCTGGACCAACTTATAGACAATGTTGTGTTAAAGGTAAGTAAATCAAAACTTCTTTTTTAACACGGAGACAAATACGAATATTTTTTTAAAAAATAAAGCTCGAAATCCATTATTCAAGAGTTATCTAAAATATTGTTTTTTCTATGGAATGTCTGTTTTAAGTAAACATGCACCGAATGTACAATTAAAAAACCATTAAAAAAACATAATATAAAAAATAATTAAAGATCTTACATGTACACTGTATCAAATCAAACAATTCCTACCTTAAAAAACTTTAGCCATGTTACATTGGAAATAAATAATTATCATAGTAAAATAGTGTAAGTGTTTCAAACAAATCAATGCATCTACTTACTGAAATTTTAAAACTGGATTTATATATGATTAATCATTCGTAGAAGCACTACGCTAAAAATAAGAAGAAAACGCTGAAAGTATTATCAAGATTTCTTTTTAACAGGAGCGGACATACAATGCTTGTTGAGACGTGGTACCTGCCAAGATATTTCGAACTACTGCAGAGGCAGATATCTGAGAGGTCTATGTGGCGGAGGTCTGTCGCGCCGTTGTTGTGTGTAATTCTAATTTTAGAAACAAAATCAGAATAATTGTAGTTTTACTTTCTGCTTTTTATTCCCTAATTCTGATAAACGCTGAAATATGATTAAAAGCAAATAGATAATTTGTTACTTTGTTAATTTGACATTTTGCTCCAAATGAATTTATCTCTGATTACGATTGTCAGCTGATTAGGAAGGTTCCACTGACTTATGCATGTTGAAAGCATATATAATGAAGTATGTCTCTGTTCTTGAAAATAAAATCAAAATTATTTAAGTTTTGTTTTTCCGCGAGAAAAAAAAACTTTTGTAAAAATATATGTGTAAATTACATAGATTACATTGTCTTAACAACGGGACTTGGAAATCGGTCCTTCGGAAGAGACCGATGAAATCCTTTTCAATGCCAACAATTTTAGCCATAAAAGAACCCATTTGAAACATTCTTGCTGATGTTGAAGACACGGAATCCTATCATATCTTTTTGTTACCCCCTCTTCCATATTACTGCAAAGCCATTTCAACTTGAATTATAATTGACTTATAATTGACTGTGTCTTTGGTAGTACTCATCATCAATTCATTAATGATTAAAATGTTTATAAACCTTTATTTCTTTAACAAATTAAAAACTGGGTAGCCATGATTATCCACAAGATAGGAAACTTTCCCTACCTCTGTGGACTGGCTAATATTTAACCACTGGATATCTGAATTACACAGTGGAAAAATTCTGAGCAATAGAATTTAACCAATGGTTAAGTATTAGAGTTCGAATCTCTGCCTTACTGACTGACTTAAGTCGATGAAAAATGGGTAGCAACTGTTCCTTCGCCATGCGCTCGGCACTTTGAAGTGAAAGTCGCAGGTCCTTCGGATGAGACCTTAAAAACCGAGGCCCCGTGTCAAGGCAGTCGTTGGCACAATAAAGATCCCTCACTGCTGAATGGCCCTGAGTGCCGAGTAAAGGTCAAAATTTGAAGCCCTTCAGCGGTATATGGTGACGTCTCTATATGAGTGAAAAATTCTCGAATGGGACGTAAAACAACATACAATCAATCAATCAATCAATCTTTTGCCAACATTCCGAAAATTCTATAGTGCACACACAAAATTATAATGATGTGATGAGCTGAAGAAAACGAGCGATGATCGATCAAACAACCCTCGGAAAATCCAGTGGTGGGATCAGATTCCTAGGAATAGTAAGCATTTCCTGTTGATCGGTCACAAGCATCGTGAGCCCTATGTATTGATCAGGTCGATGGGACATTCTTTAGTCAAATTAAGTATCAAAACAAAGGCCTAACAATTAGTATGAAACACATCACACAGATTACAACCCAATGATAGGTTACATTTGCTCACAAGGTCATTATAACATTATATAGAATTTACTAGATTTTATAAGAGGTTGTTGAAATCACTGTAACATCGGCTTATCTGTAAGTAGCCTTTCTCAGTTTAAAAATTGATCGTTCTCAAAGCATTTTCTTGAGTATCGAAGAAGTTGGGAGACGTAAACACTATCTGCAGGTGATAGCCAGGACGTGGCAATATGAGTAAGGTACTTCGTTTCTTGACATCGTGACTGTGTCCTGACTTCTTGTGTCGTTTATTTGGTGTCTACTGTGTTCCACTCATCTTATTTCTCCTATGCCTCTTCACCACAAGAGCCCAAGGCAAGGTATGTTTGTGAGGTGGACGTCCTCTTATTCATACTGGTCAAATATCACTCCATAAGAATTTTAATTGCGGTCTTTCGGATGAGACCTTAAAAACCGAGGCCCCGTGTCACGGCAGGCGTTGGCACGATAAAGATCCCTCACTGCCCAATGGCCCTGAGTGCCGAGTAAAGGTCAAAATTTGAAGCCCTTCAGCGGTATATGGTGACGTCTCTATATGAGTGAAAAATTCTCGAATGGGACGTAAAACAACATACAATCAATCATTCAATATAATTACAAGAATTCCGAACACAGTAATTATTATACAACGAAAGAGGGAGAAGGAACAATGCTTTATTGACGAGTCTGTATGAAACACGCTCAGCATTAGATGTTTTATTACTAAGAAATTTTACTTTACTCATAATAATTTTACCAGTTCAGGAGAAACCGTGACAAATTACATTCATTCACAAGCACAGACAAACTTGACTAGCTTCGGTCATGTTAACAAACTTTAAGTCAAGGAGCGTTTTGAGCTTGATTACTGTTCGCTATCTTTACATTTCATTCATTTCTTTAATTTTTTTGTGTAAATTCAATTCGGAGTTTTCTATAAATTTAGAAATTTTTTCCATACTTTTGTGTTTTAATTTTTCTTGTTCTTCTTCCTTTATCTGCTTTAATTTTTTTTGTGGATTTCATATATTGTTTGTGTATTAATTGCACCAAGCAAGAGTGGATTTGATACAACTGTATGTCCTGTAGAACCGTCCCTCGTTGCTTTTAATCTATACACATGTACAATGCAAGCAAGACAAATACTCATGCAATATTTTGTACTTCTTTAGCAGTGTATTTCTTTCATTATTATGTTATTGTACTTACAGCATATGAAACACTGGAATATTTCTCCAAGTAAAATTAAAGGGGACCAATTAAAGAATGTCTTTTAGTAACGTCTCTTTCTACTTTTTGCTGTTTCTTTGAACATGTATGTGTCAGCATTTATTGATTTTTAAATTGTTTCTTTGCCATTATCCTTATGAATTTAGGTGTACCTGTACAATTTCATTGAACAGAAATGAGCATTATTAGTATATCTTTGTCTATTTTGTATCCTGCTATGCTATATTAACCACGGATCTACGTACATAAACAACACGCCACTGATGTAACATTTTCTACTCATAATGTTACATTCGCTATGATGTATGAATGATAATATGTGAAAATTTTGATATATTAAATAGCCTTTTGCATATCATTTTTTCAAGTTGTGCATATAGTCATCACAATATATTATACAACCTTAACAATGAGTCGATACTCTAATTTTCAATGTATCTAGTCATTATATCATTATATTATTATACTAACTAAACAATGATATAACTTGTTACATGTACATTTTACTTAAGAAACATCGATACATGTATTTATATAATACAGAATCAGGAGTTCACACTTTAAAAGTTAAATTTTGATAGAAACAACATTTATTGAGATTAGAAGTAGAATGAAACAGGAAGTCTACCTATTTCAGACAGTGATGTTCAGGCCAATAACTGGAACCCTGGAGCTGTTTTTTTTTTTTTTTCAAAATCTAGCATATGTACATGTTATTGTATATATGGTGTTGTAAACGTTATTACTGAAGATGATTAGGATAAGAGTAAAGATCGGATGTGTTGGATGAATCAGTTTAATCGTTAACTCATGGGGTTCCGTTTGAAGTAGGTACTGTTTCGAAAAAGATCCCTCACTGCCCAATGCCATTAGTGCCGATTACATGTTTTAATTTACAGAATTCCACCTGTAACCTCTGCGTCTTGCTTTAAGGGAAAAAAATAAGAAATATAAAGTAAAAAAAAATCATTTATTAATATAAGACGTCACCAAAAGCGGTGAAGGGCTTCAAATTAGATCTATAATCTGCAGTCTGAGCCATTGAGCATTTAGGGTTTCTTTATCGTGTCAACATCTACCTGACAGAGGTCGACGTTTACAAGGTCATTTTTGAAAGTTTTGTGACTTTTATAATGTCGAAGAAAAATTAACTCTATCTAAATCACGTCCTAGATTGACGTGGCGCAGGAAACAAGAATCGGGCCCGAATTACAAAGCAGGTTCCCTTTCACTACAATGAACAAATGAAGCGTAATGAATGTTAAATTGAATGTTAAAACTAGAAATATCATTATTCATAGAGATATTCTAAAACCTTAAAGTTATAAGGGATTTCAGCTCGTATGCAATGATATGTTAATCAACATTACTTGCATGCTTAATGCGACGGAATTTTTAATTATCATACTTCTTTTTTTTTTTTTTTTTTTTTTTTTTTTTTTTTTGTTTAATTTGGTCTTTTTCGGAGTGTATTACTTTTACAATAGTTAATTCACTTTACCATTTTCTGGGAAAGAAAATCTGAATGTTAACTAAATGAAACTCTCATGCGGAAAACCACCCAAATGCTAAGTATGCCTATCTCAGTTGTTGTAACTATTTTCATAGGTCATATGAAATAAGTCATCTTTCTGACTAATATTTTGATAAAAATTAGCCTAAAAATTTTAAACATTTTCTTTAGGTTGAAAAATTATTTTAAATGAAAACATTTTATTGGGATATGTCGAAATCAAGCATTTATTCAATGTATATATAAATCTCTTGTCATCAGGCAATAAGTGTAAAAGTAGAGAGTTTCCTTGTTGATGATTATAAACCTTCTTGAATATCCTAAACAAAAAGGCACTAAAGAAATATAAAGTTAACTATACTTACTATAATATTATATTATGCTAGAGTAAATTGAAGTCATTTTACTATGAATTCAAAATGGTTATATTCTATTTTCTCCATGTCCAATTCTATTTATTGACAAAGACACATAACGGATTCTCGTAAATGTTCTATTAAGCCTCTGTCTTAACTCCTAGTCTCCCAACAACCTATAGGAAATCCCATGGGTACCAATTGCGCCCCCTTTTTAGCAGACCTATTTTTGTATTCATATGAGCAGAATGTATGAAAAAAATATGCATGCAGTGGCCTTCTACTCGACCTTTAAATAAATCGTCGACGTATTATCAGTTTACAATAGTTACTTCCATTCACTTGTCGACTCGATATATTCAATTGAACTTGAAACAAAAGATACCTTGGTTTCTGACGCATCTGTTACAAATTTTGATATTTATGATAAACGTGATTACTTCAACTTTTCTAGGGTAAAATTCCCCTACTTATGTAGCAATATACCTTTTCGCCTGCTGATGGAGTTTTTGTCTCCCAGTTGATTCGGTACGCAAGATCATGTTCTGCGTAAAAATGTTTGTCAAACGAGGCAAGTTATTAAAGAACAATTATATGAAACAAT